ATAATTTTTTGTATTTTTTTCAATATATGTAAACAAATATGTTGTAAAGAATTTAATCAACCTTTAATTAATAAAATTAAATAGATAAAAGAAAATTAATAAAATATATTTATTTAATCTCAGTGCGTAATTGAATGAGTTACTAGGCAAATGGTGCGGGACAAAATAAAAGCGGTCTAAGTTTTATCATGGGACTGAAAAAACGCAAACAACTTTTTTGATTTTATTTTTAAAAAAACGCAAATCATCCCTAAAACTTATGAATGGTGATAATTTGCGTTTTTGGAAAATAATTTTTTGAAAACCGCACTCAAAGGTTACCATTCACTTCACAACCAATGATGTTATAGAATGATTACTGATGTACACTTGTTATCCATAATTGTTTATCACTTGATTTATTATTTAATTAGATTATTAAATGGATTAGTCTGATGCATGTTCTAGACCATTCGGCATGACAGATCAGTAACCTAGTATTTTTTTTTAACATCTACCAGTAACCAAGTAACTATAGTTATAAGTACTTTTAGAAAACGAACACAAGAGCCAAAGAGGTCATAAAATAGAGTCGGGTAAGATCAATAGTCTATGTTATCGTGTCCATCAAAAGCTGTCACCAGATTAAAAATAAATTAATGTCAGTGGCAATGTTACAAACGTTATACAATTTCATATTTATTCTATGATCGGTCTATTTCAAAGGACCATGTGATCTGTCGCCCTGCATTACTTCACTTGACACTATTTTTTTTTTCTTATTGAAAAAGGGAGAGTATACGCGATCCTTTTTATGTTAAAAACATTTTTATTAGTTAACAAAATAAAAAGATTACAAGCTATGGTCCTTCTTAGATCATGTAGTTGGATACAAAGCATAAGAGAGTCAAGAGAATCAAAAACACAATGTTTGAAAATCGCCAATCCCCAAACATGGCAAAGAAAACAAGAGACACATAAAAAAAAAGGTTTAACATAATTTCTCAGTTTTGAGCTCTGACGGATTTTCTACCGTATTTTGTCGGCATTTCTACTTTTTATTTCTGGATGTTTTAATATTTCTAAGTGCCTAAATTTTTGAATCTTTAATAAAATGCCAAATTTAGATTAGACAGTAAAAATACATCTTTTTTTATCCGATAAAATTTTATTTATTCTTTAAAATTATTTGGAAAGTGATTAGCCATGGCCTGTACGTCATTTTTTTCCCTGTATGATCAGGGGTTCCACGACCCTCTCTAAGAAATGCAAAGAACAGTTTTTGAAAATTTTGAAGAAGATTTTACAAGACGGTCTTACAATATATATATATATATATATAGACATATTTTAAAATCATCTATGTACTCACATCGGTTGATGGAAAAAAAAAATATATTTTATATACATATTGCTAAAAACATATATTGACCAATGAAATTGAAATAGGTTAAAGAAAACCAGTAAGCCAACCAAACGTAAAAAGTTCAAAAGATTTATCCTGATTTTCTTATTCCATTGGCTTGATCAATCAGAACCAGAAATCACTTTTCAACAAATCGTTGATCGTTTACTCCGTAATAAACAATTCTTACTCTAAAGTCTTCCCAAGAAATGCTTAAGAAATGCGTAGTGATAGATCTTAGGAGTAGTTTATTATTATAAATAGTTGAAGTAGTTTCACTTTTTTTTTTCCGTCAGGTATAGAACATATAATCTGTAATGATTTAGAGGCCCACAAGATATATAATGCGACATAAGGCACAGTGAAAGAGCACATTGGCTTTGGTGGTAGATGACAATGTTTGCACAATAATAAGAGAGACAGATATGATTTAGAAAGGACGAAGAGAAAATGAGAATTGTGGGTTAAAGTCCTAGCAAACCCCTTTGTGCATTGATGTGGTTGAAATACTTCTCTATAGGTCATGTGGTGATTTCATCTTTGCATCATAGGATATGGATAAGATTACTTAATATCTTGTTGTTTGGATTCTGGATTGTTTTTTTTTTTTGTTGCATTTGAACAATTCCTTACAGTTATCAAATGTAAGATTATATCATTGCCAAAAATTCACAATAAAGTGTGTCAAACAAAATTTTCGGCCAATAAGTATGCGTTGTTGGTGATTTATTTGAAAATAAATCTGAGTCAAATATAAGAAATTATGCGAACTAAGTCTGACATTCAATAGAATATGCTGCCATTACCCCGATATCTATACTTTGTTTTGCAGGATTTTTTTTTGGATATTATAATAGCAAAAAAGTATCTAAAAAAAACTTTCATTTCACAAAGAATGTTATTTTAAATTTTAAATTTTAAATTTTATTTTATATAAAATATCGGTTTGTATTTTCAACACAAATTTCTTAGCTAAATCTCAATTTTATCCCTAGAATTCCATCTTATTAATTAGACAGAAAATATAATAAGTGCATTAGTGAAAGACATAAGAGAGATTTCTATCTTTTTCTTAATATATGTTTAAAATGCTAAAATTATATTCTTTGTGAAATGAAAAGAGTAATATCATATAATTACGGTTTTCCTGACAAGTTTCCTGAAAAATACTAAAAACAGTGTAGTAATGACGGTTTTACTAATAAACCTCTGAACGGTATTATGGACGGAAAATTGGTTTTTTCATACTTGAAGAATGAGTAGGTGTTATTCTCATACCCAAATTATGTGACCGTGCATAAATCTACATAAAGTTAATACAAATTTAAATTACATACTTAAACTTTCTATTTTGTGCTAAATCATACATTCGAGTTAACAGTGTTATTAATCTGTTAACTCTTGCCTACGTGGACAACACGTGTGAAATGACTGTGTTTAAAAATCTTTAAACAGAATTTAGAAATTGCACAAACGACATTATTGTGGTCTCCCTAATTAAACGGCGTCGTTTGAAGAAAAATTAATAAAAACCATAGAAGAGACGCCGTTTCACTCCCACTTCATCTTCAACCTCTCCACCTCGACACCCTAGAAACACGCTCACCCCTACTCGAACCAGGTCCGTCTCACTTCTTCTTCTGATTATGATTGTGATTATATATGTTTGAAGATTGATTGATCTTGAAATAAAAGTGTGTTTTTTGATGTTTGAAGGTTCGATCTGGTGGTTTTCTGTGGGAGTACGAAGGAGAACTTGGCTTCTGGGATCTTCCATCCCTTCGTCTCTCAACCGAATACAAGAAAGAAGGGAACTTTAAAATCAGGCTTCTCTTCTGAATATGAATACAAGTCAAGAGGTTTGATAGTTACCAGTAAAGCACCAGCAGAAATAGCTGATGTAGTGAGCCGATTACAGAAAACGAGAAACAAATAGTGCTTGAAGTACTCCTTGTTCAACCCATATGACACTCTTGTAATCTTTTCCTGCAAATTACATGCAAGAATCAATCTCATATCGAACAACAGCATAGACTCAAACCATATGGATAGAAAAACAAAACAACAGCTTGCACTTGTAACTTAGATAACTAGGAGTGAGAAAAAATAAAGGATTCACTTTTATGAATTGCTAGTTTTGTTTTGCAATTCCACAAGATACACGCTTTTATGAACTAAGAAAAAAACCCACCAAGTTTCTTCCATTAATTTAATTTAAACAAAAGAAGCAAATCCAGAGGAAAGAGAAAGAGTAAGAGACGTGGAGAAGACCATAGATTACGATCATGATTCCGGACGAAAACAGTTTTCCATAGCTTCTTTTCCTTTGCTTCGTTTACTGAATCATCAGACTCAGCCATTTTTCCTTTAACGATTTGATTCTCTCTCTCACATACACACATCTACATGTTCTGGGATGTCGAGGTTGAAGAAGAAGTGGGAGCGAAACGACGTCTCTTCTGTGCTTTCTATTAATTCTTTTTTTCAAAACCACGTTTTTTAACTATGGAGACCACAACGATGTCGTTTTGTGCAATTTTTAAATTCAGTTTAAGAATTCTTTAACACAGTCATTTCACATGTGTCTTCCACGTAGGCAAAAATTAACGGATTATTAACAATGTTAAGTCGAATGTAGGATTTAGCACAAAATGGAAAGTTTAGGTATGTAATTTAAATTTTTATTAACTTGATGTACATTTATGTACGGTCACATAATTTGGGTATGAGAATAACACCTACGCATACTTCAGGTATGAAAAAGCTAATTTTCCTATTATGGACACAAAAAAACGTTCTAGTAATTTCAAAAAGATTTAAAACTATTTTGCTAATTAACAAGTAGTCACAACAGTGAGACCTTGTTTAGTTTCTCTACATGACAAGATTAACATAGGAATTTTGAACTCACTGGCCCGTCGTTGTCACTTACAAATTCAATTCTTTTATATTATCTAAGCACACAACTAAGATTAGATTCGACAAACAATATCTTTGGTCCAAATTGATTTGGCACATTGTCACAATGAGAATCATCACCACACTTATATATTCAATAAATTTGTCTTTAAAGAACTCAATACACCTTCTTTTTTTGTAAGAATATAAGCCACCATTATACACTGTGTCGTTATTGCAATTCGACATTATTTTAGTTTATGTTTGTTTAACATCTATTTTATTTGTGGAAAGTGGAACTTATAATTATATTTGCACTATTGTTTTATACACACATTCGCTCATGTCCCACGTTTCGTCAGCTTCCACTTGCACCTTTCAGCAGTGGAGGGTACAACATTTGCACGGTCAATCATTTCGTACATTTATTATTTTCTTAAATAAGGTTTTTTTTTTTTTTTTAATTTCGACCTTCGACTAGCAATATAATGATTATAATCAAACTATAATCGGACTAAATTTACACAATGGTTATCCCTCTTTCTTTATATTCAAAGAAATCATATGCACGAATTAAATTACGAAGGAGTCTCTCAGTCATTTATTGCATTTCACTTATGTGTTCGTTTTTTTTTTCAAATTTCGTTTTCTACTTAGGCTTTGAATGGGATATGGGAAAAAAGCATAGCATCTGTCAAAAAGAGTGAATTGCAAATATGTAACCATTTATGACATAAAAAATTACAAAAAAAAATAATATTTTAATTCTAAACTGCATGTAGAAAAAGAAAGCACGGACTGCACAACTTTCCCACCAGTCCGCCTGATCTGCAACAATTTTCTAATTTTTTTTTATTTTTTTTTCCAATTTCAGTATAAATAAAGGGTCATTTGCAAGAATAATATGTTTTGGTCTAACAATTGCAGATATAACGTCCATGATGGGTCAATTAGGAAACTAGCAGTAGTCAACTGTTTTTTTAGAGGGGAAAATACCATAAGCCCCTTGCCTCTTTAATCCCAACATTGCTTTATGTCTGACACGAAAACGACATCTCCATTTTGTAAAGTTAGAGACGCTATCATCAATTTTTGGACAATAGCATCCTGAACTTTAGCGCATCGGTTGGAGTGTAGCAGACTAGGTTATTTTCGATTTAAGTGTAGTGGACTAGGTTACATTTTGGGGTACCTCAAAAAGCTTTGCCGCCGCTAGAGAACTTGAAAAGAAAGAAGGTAAGCGACTACGCTTTTTATAGTTTCTGACTATTATTTCGTTGTAGTCGTAATGAAAACAGTAACGCCTTCTATGTAACAGATGGTGGGGAAGCAGATTGTGTTGCTTGTGAAGGGAAGATGGTTTGAGGATACTCCTGTGGTTTGGTCTTTCTTGACGGACCAGTCCGTACAGAGCCAAGGTGCCTTCTTAATGACGAGGATGACATATGATGAAGTGTTGAAGATCGTCCGGGACAAGTTCCAGCTCTGTGAAAATGCAGCGGTGGCTCTGTCGTACCAGTGGCCTGCGTACATGTTGATGGATGATGGGAAAGATGCTCCTTTGGTAGCTGTTCGTAAAGACGATGATGTAGCTTTGTTCGTGGAAATGCGTGGTGAAATTGAAGAACTGAACCTGTGTGTGATGGTTGCCGACGATGATGTCGAATGGGTGCAGCAAAAAGCAACGCTGGAAGATGGAAACAACAACTCCGACACCGTGGACACAGACGAGGGCGGTGGTAAGAAAGATGACTTTTTTTTAACAATATGGAGACATTTATATGTTAGTCTGGTATTTAGTAGTTAACTATATCAGAATACGACTAAAAATAAAGTAGATCTATATATCTAGTAGTTAACTATAGCTGAAATCGACCCAAATATAGTAGATCTGTATATCTAGTAGTAAATGATATCAGTAAACGACTATAATATAGTAGATCTGTATATAGTAGTTCACTATAGCTGAACCCGACTAAAATATAGTAGATCTGTATATTTTGTAGTTAGCTATGGCAGAAAACGACTACAATATAATAGATCTTTATATATAGTTAACTATATTTGAAACGACTACGATGTAATAGAACTGACTATATAGTCAACTATTTAATTATATATTCAACTATAAAACTATTTAAAACATTTGTTATAGTTCTTGACTACGTGGTATCGGACTATCTCTTAACGTCATCTAGGAGAAAGCTGTGAAAAACTGGACGAGTTGGCTGCAATAGATTTGGCTGGTGAAGAACCCGAACTGGGTGGACGTAGTGATGAAGAATCACTTGCGGGAAACGATGAAGAACTGCATAACTTTGCAGTTGATGAATCAGCACCTGCAACCCGTGAGGACGTTAGAGCGAAACAGAAGGGAAAAACCGTTGTCCACAACAACGAAGCGTGCTTCGAGTCTGACGCAGATGGCTCAAAAAAGAAAGAAGAAGGGGAAAGCAGCCGAGGATCAGGGAAGTTTAGCAGTGCTCAGGAGACGATCAATGGTGTGTTTTCAGACCCTGAAGAAATGCCCGCTATGTTCGGAAGAGATGCCCCGCCGATTGTAGATGAAATCGATGATGATGATAAGTAAACGACTATTTGTAGTTAGTTATGCATTTAATAAGGTAGACTTTAAAGTAGTTGACAATAACATTGCTGCAGGAATAGACGGTGCCCTGAAGGATGTCCGATACGAAGGTGATGGAGTGTTTGTTGGCCGGATCTTCAGAAGTAAGGTTGAATGCAAAATAAAAATGGCCATCTACGCCATCAACCGGAAATTTCACTTCAGGACTCCACGCCCGACACCACATTTCATGGAATTTGTTTGTGTGAGTCCCAATTGCGGTTGGCGCGTCTATGCTTCCCTCATGGACGGAACGGGCAACTTCCAGATCAAGAAGGCGCAACTGAAGCACACCTGTCCAATTGATGACCGTCGGCAATTCCACAAACAAGCGACAACTCAAGTAATTGGGGAATTGATCCAGGCGAGGTTCGTAGCAGGACAAAAGGGACCCGGACCTATTGAGATCCAAAGAATCATGCTCCAAGAGTTCCAGGTAAACATCTTGTACTGGAAGGCATGGCGATGCCGAGAAGTTGCTGTTGAGAAGGCTTTCGGATCCATTTCCGGAAGTTATTCTTTACTTCCATCGTATCTGGAGAACCTGCAAACATCCAACCCGGGAACTGTTTGCAAAACAGAGTTCCAGATGGATAAAAATGGGGCGAGGAGGTTCAAGTACATGTTTATCTCGTATGCGGCTACCATTTCTGGGTTGGCTTATTTAAGGCCTGTCATTCTGATTGATGGCACTCATCTCGTCGGGCGTTATGGTGGATGTCTGATTTGTGCTTCTGAGCAAGACGGGAACTTCCAGATTTACCCCATTGCTTATGCCGTCGTCGACAGCGAGAATGATGCGTCGTACGAATGGTTTTTCAGATGTCTGCAGACGATCATACGGGATGGTCATGGCGTGATGTTCATCTCCGACAGACACTCATCCATCTACTCAGGACTGAAAAAGGTTCGAACTTCAAAAATTTACATGATGTATTCGTCTACGTTTAGACAATTAATAGTAGACGACTATTCTTTTCTTATGTTCAATACGGTAATATGTGATCAAAAAAATTCCCAAATAACTATGGGTAGACGACTATCTGGTAGCCATCTTTATCTGCAGTCCCTAAACCCTATTACGTTATTCTTTCGATCAGGTGTATCCGTCAGCTGCACACGGTGCTTGTTTAGTGCATCTGACGAGGAACGTGACAAATAGGTTCAAAGAGAGCCGACTCCCTTCGCTCATGGTGCGTGCAGCGAAGGCTTATACCGTGTATGAATTCAACCAACTTTTTGCCGAGCTGAGAAGCGTAAGCCCAAGCTGTGCTGACTACTTGACCGATTTGGGTTTACCTCACTGGACCAGAGCATACAGTGTCGGAGAACGCTACAACATCATGAAAACCGATGTAGCTGAGTCGCTTAACAAAGTGCTGAAGGAATGTAGGGAGTTCCCCTTGATCTCTATGCTTGAAGCTATACGTATGAGTCTGATGGGATGGTTTGTACGGAGGAGAGCTGCTTACGCTTCAGAGATACATCAACTGACGCCTAAGGTGCGTGACATCCTGGACGAAAAATCTATGACAGCACAAAGATGAAGGTAACATTTGTTAGATGAATTACTTATTAATAAACTACTATTTCGTAAACGTCTACTCATATGCGACTATTACCTATTTCGTAGGTGGTTATGGTCAATCAGGATGAGTTCGAGGTTTACGATCGAAATGGTGGGAGGTTTGAAGTGAATTTGTGCACGTGCAGAGAATTCCAAATGCTCCTCATACCGTGTTGCCACGCATTGGCTGCTACCTCGTTATGCAAAATAAGTAACGACAACCTTGTGGGCGAAGTGTACAGCACCGGCTTTGTGAGGTCGCTCTATGAGGGAGTTTTCCACCCAGTTCCAACACCGGTGAGTAATGGTGATGGGGAACTGCTTCTGCCCATAATGCGCCGTCCACCTGGAAGGCCGAAGAAAACCAGAATCCCATCCCGTGGAGAATTCAAGATGGTAAGTTAAAAATTTTAACTACATATCGGATATAGTTGACTATAAAATCCCCTAAAAACTTGTCTACGGTGTATCAGAGACGTTCGAAGAAGGCGGTGAGACTTTGCACAAGGTGCCTTGGTCGTGGTCACAACAAAGCGTCCTGCAAACTTCCAGTCAGGGAAAAGTGAGCACACCACCACGAAAAGGATTAGTTGACTACTAAGGGAGAGTAGCTGCTAATTCCGTGTTTTTATTTTGTTTAGAGACCTTGAACTATGTTGCGAAGTCTATGTTGAACTATTTGTTGTTAATTCCTGCTATTGAACTATTTGTTTAAGTTTAATGGAACTCCCTTAATTATTGATCTGTGTGTGGTTCTATGTCTATAGATAGGCGTTTAGCTATTTATTGTGTAACCGATTATAAGTAGTTACTTATTAATAGGTAATTGCAAGATTTAGGAGATAACATTTTTCCTAATTAGAAACATGGGACCATACCTATAACACAGAAAGGTAGCTGTTTAGGATGTTATGGATCCGAAGCCACCTACTAGTAGGTGATTAATTACTGATCCACTCTACTCGTCGTTCAGTACGAAGGAAATTTAGATAATGAAACGATATAGTAAACACCTACTGTTAAACGTTTATAACATAGTTAAGTTTGGTAGATAGGAAAATCGGGAAAAACAATGGACGTAAACGTTCAAAAGACATAAAGCAACAATACTGAGAAGGCGAAATTGTTTAAGTTCACAGAAGCAATACAACAAATTACAAGATAGTCTTGGTCGTCATAAATCAAGAAGATGGTATCGGCGGAGCCTCTGAAATTGGGGTGTCCACTTTGCAAAGTAGATCGTAAGCGTATGTCAGAGCTGCATCCCGGATGGTATCATCCCCAATGTCGGTGTCTATCGCCAAGTTCTCGGCGTGAAGCTGAATAAGCATGATTGTAAGCACTCCACTCAGACCTGGAAGAAATATAGTGAATATATTATAAGGTAGTCAGTTATATAGTAATCATGTATGCAGTAGAAGTTTACCTGATGTTGGGGACTGAAAGACGGGCTTCGCAACAGTAACGTTGAATGGGTCCAACCTGTCGTTCTTCATCTCTGCATTGTAAGCAACTTTTCGGATGAAGTGTGGGAGAGATTCAGCAATTGGTACGCATGCCATCTTCAACTTCATCTCCTTGAACGCCGGGTTGCAATTAATGATAGTTATATCATGAGCCTCCAAATCGATGCAAAGTCCAACCCAATGTTTGCTGTCAATTTGGAATGGACAGTAGATGCGGGCAATTGATGTGTACCACGGCTGCCGGTTCTTGACATAAGCGGCTGCACCGGCTGGTAGGGTTATTTTCGTCCACTTGTTGGGTGATACGAATTCTCGATGGAGCTTGACAATTTCATTGATTAATCCGAACTCAACGAAGTCGTATTTCGTAGGATGAGATTCCCTGTTAACCCAAAGCTGATCACGAAGGCAGGCAAACACGGCATTCATTCCCTGGTAATACATAACAAGATAGTAGTTAATTATTCTCCAATTGGGTAGACAATTATCAATAGACCGACTATTAAAATGAACTTACCAGGATGCTTATGGGCTTGGTGCGAGATAAAATTTGGTAAAATACGTTCGGGGTAAGATTTACGTCGTACCAGGTGGGGAAACGACTACCAAAACACAAGAAATTAATCATTAAAGAGAAATGAAATTGTTTTCAAATACGATGAAACATGAATACTAACCTCGTCTCCTTCAGCTTCACTTCCATGTAAGACACTTGTTCCGCTGTGGGTGGGGGGAAAAAGGAAGACAGGTCTACTGAGTTCTCGGTCTTTTTTAGCCGTTTCTGAGGGTAGACAAAGTCATCGGATTTAGTTGAAGTGATTCTTTGCCGGGAGCTTTTGCGAGTTGGAAGCGGGACTTTCGATGGCTCCATTACATCTTTGTCTGCTTGTTCGCTTTGTCTAGCTTTCTCGCGGGCCTTCTCCTCTTGGGTGAGACCAAGGGAAAAAGCTGGGGGGTCGTCTACTTGTGGAAGCAAAGTTGCCTATTGCGGATAATTATGCAGTGAGCCTCAATAATTAATGTGTCTAAAAATTGCATAAACGTATACATTATATGTGATTATAATTTTTGTGATTACAAACCTCGTCTTTGTCTAAATCTGTTCTCGGGATCGAACCAATATTGTTGACATCGACCTATGAGAAAGAAAAAGACATTTAAAGTAGTCAACTATAAAATATGTGTATATTTGTAAACACCTAAGAAGTGTATGTGTTTACCTGTTCAGCAGCTAAATCATTAGTCGGGTCGGGGAGGTTTCCAGTGTCGTTAGTATTAGCTGATGCGGTTCGAGTATCCGGAACATCTGAGATATCATTACGTGGATGATCCTTCGTATTCTCCAAGTCCGGAATTGGCAGGTCTGTGGTATTTTCTGATGGCTATAAAAGGAAAAGATAGTTAACTATTAGTAGACATGTAAGTTGTAATTAGATATCAAATACCTTAGGGAGTGTATCGGTATTGCCATCGGCGACCTCGTTGGAGGAATTGATGTCGTTTAACACGTCAACTATACGATTGGTGGCCCTTGTAGCGTCATCAACAAAATGATCGTCTTCTACAAGGCCATCTTTATTTACGCCAACCCTATCCATCGTAATGTCTTCGTTCTGCACATCCACCTGGTTATCAACTACGTTATCAGCGTCGGGAAGGGTTTTATTAACAGCTTGGATGACGCCTTGGTTATCACCATCGTCGGAAGCTTCATTTCCACCTTCGTCGTCCTGGCTAGAACTAGAAACGGTCTTCGTTTTGGTGGCAAATGTGTCCGCCTTCAAGTTGGAAATGTCGGAACGTAACAGGAAAAGCTCCGAGTATGCCTTATCAAAATCTTTCCGAAGGATACGGAAATCGGATTGAATAGAGTTAAGGGCATTCATAATCTTGGAATTGGCTGCAACCACTTTCTCAAAAAAAGCTGTAGCGGCAAACTCGAGATGTTCGTCACCGCCAGGCGAAGAAGATTTCTGTTTTGTTGATGATTGAGGCTTCGTAATCTTATTATATTCGGAAGCCTTACTCCCGCCAACCCACGACTTATGTGTGAATGTAGTACCCTGTTCAATGGCACCGATCAAGTTCTCGACCTTTGAGTCTTCTACTTCATCTGGGTGGCAAAACTCCTCCTCGTCGAATACGTTGTCCTCATCTTCGAGAATGTGTTTTACACTGACCTGCTCAAACATATAATCAGCTACGGTAGGTAAGGTAGACATCTATTATTACGTGATTACTGGATAATGATTGGTATACATATATTAGTAGTTGATTACCTTGCCCTCTTTGTCTATCGTTCTGACATGGTTCATTGGAATCTGGATTGCCTTCTGGGCACCCGGACGTAGGATTGGGGCCTCGTCTTCATCGTTTTCGTCATCCACTAAACTGTGCTTCTTACCCTTAACATCTTTAGACATCAGGCTGGGGACGCAAGCTAAGACAACCATCTGCAGGCCGTGTAAGAACCCTTGAAACGCACATGTCGACTGACAAAGATTAGAAAGAACAGAACATCGGCTCTTGATGCTTTCCATAGTCAAGTCAAAGGATTTTCGTCCCCATGGATACGATAGAAAATCGTCGACATCTCTAACCATCAAAATATGCTCGCCATTTATCTTTGTGTTCTTAGAGGTCGGACAGACAATCCCGTCAACAAGCAGAAGCAAAGCTAGACGAAATCTTGTGTCTTTATCCTTGTAAGGCCTCCCCAAAAGGGTGTTTGCTATCCCCAATGGAGTTGCGTTCTTCTCACTACCAAAAAGTTCTTTGGTGTAGTTCTTTATCTCAGCTTCATCACCTTCAGAGAGCGACGGGAGGCTAGAAAAATCAAGACCAGTAGCTATTCCGAACTCCCTCATGGAAAATCGTATCGGCTGGCCTGAGAAGATACACCATATCTCCTTCTTCTTATTGGTTACCAGTTGCCTAGAGAGAAGAAAGTGGAGAAACCTCACAGAAGAAGCGATCTTGTTCCCGGCTTGAAACAATTTACCGAATTGCGAGTCCATAAGCTGGTCGATATGGTCGTCTTCTAGGGCGAAGGTAATCGCATCAAGATAGTTCAGTTGGAAATATGTGTTTACCTTCTTGTTTTGAGGTTCGTAGCCGAACTTGAATAACCTCTCGGGAAATGGTGGTGACATCGGGTTATCACTAAAACAAGAACATATATGATTAGCAGAAGTATGTGTCTACATCTAGTTACTAAACTCAAAACAAGCTGGGAACAACTATATGTAGTCAACCATATGAGTAGTCAACTATATGTAGTCAAATATCAACTATATGTTTATGTTGTCACAAATTTTTATACAACTGCGAGAATTTGGTTTTCGAGATTACCAATCGCGGTGACAGTTGGGTAAAGTAAAAACCCTATATCAAATAGATCTAACAAGTAAGGGCAAAAAATTGACTAAGAGATAGTTAACTATTATGTAGAACTTGCAGCGGCAAGAAAGCAGTTAATTTTCAACAGCGGATTCACAGTGTTCGGAAAACAAAAAACAAAACCAAGAGAATATGTACGCAATTATGCATTTCGGAGTGCTTTCAAAAATTCAGGCTTAGGATGAAAATTAGTAAAGATGGGTGAACACTACTCACCCAAATATGCGAGCGCAGAGGCCGGTGGTGTTGGGCGGCGGAAAACAGATAATATCGGACAATGTTCTTTTAGGTTTAGGAATAAATACAGATGGAATTGCAGATAGAAAAAGGTGAACTTATTGGGAGGGGAAACGAAAGCGGAGGAGAAAAAACGGTTGCCTGTTCAACTAGGAGAGAGAGACAGGGAAGTAATGGCTTGAAGAATTGAATTGATTGTTCGAACTTTTTCATTTTAAAAGAGGTTTTAAGCGGTTTTCAATGCAAAAAATAGTTGTCATGCTGAAGAGAAACCGCTATGTTACTGTGTTGAAGCAAAGCTAGTGGAAAAAGTATAGAGAGTAGGGGTTTTAAGTATTTTACACTCCAACTATAACCCGGATCCATAACATGAAATATCGGTAGACAATTACAAAAATATCGTACTACTTCGCAGAAAATAAAAGGTTACAAGATAAAATATCTTTTCTAAGGTAAACGTCTAGAAGTAGTACCCTATGACAATCATAAAGTAGACAACTACCTAAGCAGACTACAAAATAAGGATCGAACACATATCTAACATCTTGGATCGAACACGAATCTGGCAATTTGGTACTGGGTGTACAGGTACCACTGCTCGCAGCACATGAGGTGATATTTCCATCGGCATCTAGGGAAGTCGGTCAAGACCTGAGGCAACTTGCATCGGTCATCAACTACCATTAATTTTGCTGTGTCCATGACATCCTCACCAATCTGAATCATGTGGCACATGCGGTTTCTCCACAGATCTATACGGTCTAACATCTCTAGTCCGAACGGATAGTGGCCACATGCAGTAGCACATATTGCAGCCATTAGAGTCGCCGCGTCAACGCCACCCTTGGATGCCTGATTGAAGAAAGTAAGAGAACCTAAAATATCGAAATCAACAATGACCCGGGACATACCTCGGAGGTACAGTGCAATAGGGTTCCCGGATTTGATTGCTGACTCGAAAAAAATAGGGTATCGAACAATTAAAGTGGGATCTTTAACGAACGAGTCGATGTTCAACATCTTCACGACAGCAAGATTTCTCAGTATTCGGTTTAAGGTAGTAGATGAACAACTGAAAGACACAGCGTCCTTCGGAGCTTTTTTAGCTACTTTTAAAAAAATATCGAGCAGAACATCCTGAATCTGGAGAAGAACATCGTTTACGGAGGTTATAGTTTGAGCTACTGAAATGTTGGCCATGCTGAAAATCAGTAGACAGAAAAAGATAGTTAACTACTAAGATGACCGGGAACAACTACTAACAGCGGTATCATAAAGTAGATCTGACCGTGAAATTGTTGAATACTATGTATATACAGGCAAAAAGATAAAGAAAAGACAGAATCATGATTCAGCTAATCGCGGTACTAGTTTTTGAGTATCTAAGAATCAGGAAAATGTTAGATCTATAATTACAGAGATGAGATTTGAAGGAAAACGAACAAACCAGAGAAAATGCTCTTCCCATCCAAGAAGCTACGGAAAAACACAGGAGAGAGAATCGGGAGGATATCGAAAGAGAAGGGAGAGAATATTATTTGAATTTGAATTTCAAATTCAAAGCAAGAGGCAGATGTGTATATGTAGACGGATATGGAAATGTAAGAAAGAGAAAATTTCTTTCAAAAAGTTGAAGATTGTCAGACAATAAAAGTTTGCTGTGTTAGAGGAAAGAAAGGACTAACATCGATCATTATAGGTTATGGGGTGGTGAGTAATTTCTCACCCATTAAACTGAATAAAATAATACTGCAAATTTGGTCTCCAAAACCTGCTCTTCCACCTAATTTCCCATAAATAAATCACTTCTTTCATGCACAACTTACCATTACCACCATTACCACCATTTCCTTACAGTTCTCCCACACTGAAGTAAAAAGGTACGTCCCTTGTATTTGATATTTCTTTGTTTTTTGTTGTCAATTACAAATGTTTAAATAAATAATTGTCCTACATATTATTTCATAAACATGTTCTAATATGTATGTATAATTTGATATACATGTCCAATAGTTTGTGGTAAATATTTTAATTATTTTCTTTGTAAACACAAAAAAAAAATTCAAATTTTTTACTATAAACATATATATATATATATATATAAAATTATTAATACTTGCTTAAAAAAATAATTCTTATTATAAAATATAGATATTCATATAAATTATTATAATAAATTCATGCATGCATGTTATATATATATTGTTTATAAAATTGATATATATATATATATATATATATATATATATATTTGTTCTAGGCACATATTCAAATACATGCATGTGGTTCTTATCTTTTGGAAGTTAGATTTTTAAAAATAAAATTTTCAAGTTTCCTTAAAAACAAAATCAAAAGAAAAAAAAATAATTATTATATGTACACATTTATATAAATTGTAAAATTAGTATAATAATTTATGCATGTAATTTGAAAATTTTCTATACACATATTCTAAAACATGCATACAGTTTCTATCTTATATTTTATTAGACTTTAAAAAAATTATTTTTCTGGTTACTGTATAAATAAAATTATTAGTACTTGGTTTAAAAAAATTTATTATTTTATAATATATACATTCATATAAATTAGTGTTATTACTTAATGCATGTTATTTTAAAAATTTTCTATAAACATATTCTAATGCATTCATGTATGTGGTTTTAAAAAATGGAGGATTCTTTGTGAATTTCCTAGATATGATATTCATGTTCAGAAAAGAGTTGTAATGGCTACAATGGGACTACATAACTTTATTAGAATCTCAAACGCTTCAGATGAAGATTTTGCCGAAATAATGAGACGAAGAGCGAACAACATCGAGACCGAAGACAGAAGCCGCAGAAGAAGAAAATATTATGACACACATTTGGGAAAATATTGCAAATTTGTTATGGGAAGATCAAAATACCTCATATTAGTTTAGTTTTTTCTATTTTGTTTGATGATGTATTTACATTTTTTTTTATTTGTATCATTTTTATATTTTTGTATTATTCAATTAAACATTTTAAATTATTAAATTTATATGATCTGTAATTATTCTGCGTGATCTGCATGAATTGCATTTGATCTACGTGATCTGTTTGATCTGTATGATCTGCATTTTTTTGTCTGTGTCACCATTCGAAGCCTTAATTGACTATTAGCACTGCGACATCGCAAACTATTGCAACCATATGAAGTAAAAAAACTAAAAGAGAACTTATCGTTACATATTTTATGATTTGGTTATTTATTCTAAAAAGTAAAAGAGAAGTTTTGAAAGAGATGAATCACTAAGACACTAATCAATGACTAAGACTAATTCTTTTTTTTGTCAATACTACGACTAATTCTTAAAGATAGAAAATGTTTACCTAAAAAATTGTTAGTGAGTAACTTCAATAAAATTGTAACGGTAAATGCTCATCTACGAAAAACAAAGTAAAGGTAAAAAAACATAGAAAGTGAAAATGAGAAAAATCCTTTTGGGAAAGAATATTCTCTATATCTAGTGTATACAACAATCCGTTTATACATAGATCGTTACATCCACTTCACAAAAGAGCATGTTTCGGTTGTACGAGCCGTGGCCGCTTAGCTTTGAAATGCTCCTGAAACGTTTATTCCTTTTTCATAAATTTGACAAGTAACAATAAACGGTTCAACAATAAAATAAAATATACTAATTAATGGATTTTTTGTATTCGAACATGACATCATTACTTCTTTGAGACTATCATTGCAATTGTTTTTTGGTCAAGTTTTTCATTTCTAAATTATCAAGCTAAGCTTCACGACAAAAAGAGGAAAAGCATTAGCAATGACGTTAGATATTGTTGACGGGACGCGATAGAAGCAGAAGACTCATCATAGACTATATATCCGCATATTGATATATAATTAAAAAGAATATGTAACTATATATGTTGATATCATTATATTAGTGCTAATATTCCGACATATTTTTATACGTTAATTAATCAGGGATTGACGTCCTACGAACTATTTTATTTAAATTCTTATTAAAATTGGGAGCACAGCCATAATTTCAGAATCATTTTAGAATTTTATATATAGATAAAACACATATTCCCAACTTAATATTTTTTTTTGGCGAGTTTTTCGTTACTGTATAAAAATATATATTCTTCTAGATAAGAAACCCCACAGCAAATTTTATGACTATTTTATAAGTAAATAACAATTTCATTTTATTCATACCAAAAACTATTTCATTTTATTTTATACTCTTATTGTTAGATTTGTGCACAGTTAAATTAGTCAACATGTTTTAAAACTCAGATTTCTTAGTTGTTTTGGTGGCGCTACTTCCCGGCCTCCGGCAGCTTAAAATGTCACAGCTTATTCTATTCCAACAATGGATGAATGACTCAATATATTTTATAAGTAAGACTATCAAGTAAAATACTAAATGTGGGAACTACATATCTCTGAATGACAAAAAATACTAATGAAAAACATGATGGATAACGTGAAAAGAATGAAAGAAGAAGATGGTGCTATATGTCGAGCAGGGTTGGAAATTTGTTAAGCGTCGGAAACAGGATGATGGTGCTTTAGCAATTTTTCTTTTCATTGAGAAAAAGCCATAATGGATTGGACTGTACATTTATAAGACAAATTTAACTCGACTACCTCTGACTTAGCAGTTATTAGCAAAAGCAATTGGCAAAATGACTATGACCAATTTTGTTAAAACACTTTGTTTTGGTTTGATAATTGGTTTGATAATTAATTTGAGATGGATCGGTTGTTCTAACAATGAACAAATCATAGTCACATAGGATAATATCCATGCTTGTCTTCTTGTAGGGGGCCTGATGAATCATAGTCACATAGACCATCTCTTTTTTGCTTGTCCATACAGATATACAGTTTGGTTTGAGTTGGGGATTACTCTCCTTGGCCGCTGTATCACTTTAGATTGGTCTGATAGCCTTGTATCGAAACAGTTCCACGTTCATGATTACATTTTTGTTCAGACTTTTCTTTCAAATCACCATCTCCAACATGTGGAGCAAATAAATGGAAGAGATCACAATCATATGTAATATTAATAAAATCATTCGTAACCGTATCAGTTTTCTCCACTACAATATGTTGAATAAGCATCAGATATTAAGGCCAAGGCCTAAATTGCTTAACAAGTCGGTTAAGTTAATTAAATAGAGTTTTAGAATATTTCCTTATTAAATTAGGAGTTATCTATTTCTAATAAAAAAAGAAAAAGTGCATTTGCTAAGTTGTGCAAGAAAATATATATATGTAAGTCATTGATGAAGTTGCATCAATGAGAGATACATACTTTGGTGTTTAGTTTTGAGAGATTTTCTAAACATAATAAGAAAGTTATTCTTACAAACAGAGTTTGTTCTTGATTTAAATACTTAAATTGGTATCAAAGCTTAAGGAGAAGCTTGTGACCTAAGGTATCGAACACGAAGATTATTCGATATCCAACCATGGAAAACATCGTCCCAAACCCTAACCCTAATCCGAAGGAAAGTGTTCCTTCTGCGATCCAGTGCCCTATGCTAATGTCAATGAGTTACACGTTGTGGGCTATGAGAATGAGAGTTCTTATGCGAATCCATAAGGTGTGGAAAACAATCAAACCTGGTTCGACCGATCCTAACAAGAATGATATCGCCATAGGACTCATCTTTCAATCTGTCCCGGAGGTTCTTATTCTGCAAGTCGGCGTACAAGACTCTCCAAAAAGGATATTTGATGCGACCCAAGCAAGTCATCTAGGAGCTGATCGTGTCAAAGAAGTGAGGCTTCAAACCCTAATGTCCGAGTTCGAGAGAATCAAGATGAACGAGTCGGACAAGATAGATGACTTCGCGGGAAAGTTATCTGAACTAGCTTCAAAATCGATTTCTCTAGGGCAAACAATTGAAGAACCAAAACTTGTGAAGAAGTTTATCAACAGTTTACCTAGGAGTAAGTTCATTCATATCATCGCCTCTCTCGAGCAGGTGTTGGATCTGAAGACGACGAGTTATGAAGACATAGTAGGAAGGCTAAAGGCGTATGAAGAAAGAATTCTCGAGAAGGAGAATCATGGAGATACCCAAAGCAAGCTACTATACGCTAACTCAGATCAACAAAGCTTTTCAAGCTCAAGAGGGAGAAGACGTGGTATAGGAGGCAGAGGAAACAGAGGACGAGGAATAGGAGGCGGGTCTAACTGACAAGAACGATCAAAAAATTCGAACCAATTAAAGGAGAAGAAGGATCGGTCGAAGGTGATTTGTTATAGATGTGATAAACCCGGCCACTTTGCATCTGTCTGTCCTGAACAACCACAAAAGACACAGGAAGCAAATAAAGTTGAGACATAAGAAGCTGATGAGGCACTTTATATGCATGAGATGGTGTTTTTGAATGAAGAAAATCTAATACCAAATAACTATGAAGGAGAAGAAGGACTTTGGTATCTAGACAATGGAGCAAGTAATCACATGACAGTAAACAAAGCATTCTTCTCTGAGCTCAACAAAAACATAAAGGACAAAGTGAAGTTTGGAGATGGCTCTTGCGTGGGAATAGCTGGAAAAGGATCAATTCTGTTTCAAAGTAAAACAGATGAGCAGAAACTCGTATCGGATATCTACTATAAACCCGAGCTCAAGAGCAACATTCTGAGTCTAGGGCAAGCCACCGAGGCCGGCTGTGATGTCAGAATAAGACAGGATTACTTGACTCTGCATGACCCGAGTGGAAGACTCTTGGTGAAAGTCATACGGTCACCCAATAGGCTTTCAAAATCAAGCTGAAGATTGAAAAACCGATATGCCTAAACACGAGTATAGAGGATGAAACTTGGAGATGGCATGCAAGGTTTGGGGCATATCAGCTTTAGAACAATGAAGGCAATGTCACAACAAGAGATGGTTTATGGTCTACCTAAAATTCGAGAAGAAAAAGGGACTGTGTGAGTCGTGTTAGTAGGGAAACAGACTCGAGAAAGCTTTCCAAAAGCATCAAGGTTCCGAGCTTCAAGACCACTGGAACTTCTTTATGCAGACTTGTGTGGTCCGATTTCGCCACCAACCATCACAGGTAACAAATACATATCATATATGACTTTACAAGATATATGTGGTCGATCTTATTAAAGGAGAAAAGTGAGGCGTTTGGGAGGTTGAAAGTGTTCAAGGAGCTAGTTCAAAAGGAGTTTGGAAGAGCAGTATTGACTCTTAGAACTGACAGAGGAGGAGAGCTTACCTCAAGGGAGTTCTATGAGTTTTGCGAATCAAAAGGGATCAAGAGGCATCTCACAGCTCCCTACATACCACAACAAAACGGTGTTGTAGAGAGGAGAAACCGAACCCTAATGGAGATGACTAGGAGCAGTCTTAAGGTTATGAAGGTACCTAATTACTTGTGGCGAGAAGCAGTTCGACACGCCACATACGTAATCAACAGAGTACCTACAAGAGCTCTTAAAGACATGACTCCTCATGAATGCTTGCGAGAGAAGAAACCAAGTCTAGAGCACTTAAGAGTCTTTGGGTGTCTCGCATACTCAAAGGTGGAAGCTACAATTCTTAAGAAGCTGATGATAGGTCACATATGCTCGTACACCTTGGGATTGGGCCAGATCCAAGGCATATAGACTCTATAATCCAGAGACAAGGAGAATTATAGTAAGCCGTCATATGGTTTTTGATGAAAAGGAAAGCTGGAACTGGAACAAACCAAGAGATGGATCAATAAGGGATCCAGGGATGTTTCAGATGAGGTGGGGTGAAGTTATTGATGCAGGGGAAGAACCTGCAGTAATCGGTTATGATCATGAAAGGGAAATTGAAGGAAGCGACGGGTGTCGAGCGACACCATCAGCGGTGTCGAGCGACACTAATGAACACGGGTGTCGAGCAACACCATCAGCAGTGTCGAGCGACACTTACAATCCCGAAACTGATCATAATGCAGAGAAAGATCTACCTAATGAAGCTGATACAGAGCAACCACTTCGAAGATCAAGTCGTCAAATACGCAAGCCAGGATATCTTGATGACTTTGTCTGTCAAGCAGCAATAGAGTGTGAGAGACTGCTACTCTCAATAGATGATGAGCCAAGGAACTTTAAGGATGCGAAAGAGTCATTAAAGTGGAGGCAAGCATATAGAGAAGAGATAGAGTCTATCAACAAAAACAAGACATTGTTTTTAATTGATAAACCGAGGGAGGCAAAGATCATTGGCCTCAAGTGGGTTTTCAAGATCAAGAAGAATGCAGATGGTACTATCAACAAGTATAAGGCGAGACTTGTGGCTAAAGGATATGTACAAGAATCATGCATTGACTTTGATGAGGTATTTGCACCTGTTGCAAGATTAAAAACTTTAAGACTGTTGATAGCATTGGCAGCATCACATGGATGGGATATTCATCACTTAGACGTGAAGACAGCATTCTTACATGGAGAATTGAAAGAAGACGTCTATGTTGAACAGCCTGAAAGATTTGAGATAAAAGAGCAGGAACAAAAAGTATACAAGGTTTCAATAGCTTTATACGGACTAAGGCAAGCTCCTCGAGCTTGGAACACAAAGTTAGATCAAATCCTAAAAGGAATGAGGTTGATAAGATGCTCCATGAAAAGCTTAGTGTATCGCAGAGAAGAGGAAGGATCATTACTGATAGTTGCAATTTATGTGGATGATTTGTTTGTCACAGACAACACTCTCAAGGTTATAAGTGAGTTCAAGACAGGGATGGAAACCAAGTTCGATATGTCAGAAGTTGGAAAACTAACTTACTACCTTGGTATCAAAGTTCATCAAGGGAAGGATGGAATCGAGATAAAACAAGAAGGCTATGCACGAAGGATACTAGCAGAGGCTGGCTTAGAAACCTGCAATCCGACGTTAATACCCATGGAATTCGGATTAAAAGTTTCAAAGGCTCAAGATGAAGAAGAGATAGATCCTACATGTTATAGAAGGAATGTAGGGTGCTTAAGGTATCTGTTACACACACGACCAGACTTGGCTTTTTCTGTTGGAGTTGTTAGCAAGTATATGCAGAGTCCTTGCAAGTCGCATGGTGACATAATGAAGCACATGTTGTGGTATCTTAAAGGGACAGTCACGTTTGGCTTAAAGTTTTGTCATGGAGGAACAAATAAAATCATTGGCTTTAGTGACAGTAGTCACAATGTAGATCCAGACGATGGAAGGAGCACCACTGGCCATATACTCACCAATCAATTGGTGTTCGAAGAAACAGGACATAGTGGCTCTGTCTTCGTGCGAAGCTGAGTTCATGGCAGCAACAAAGGCGGCTAAACAAGCTATTTGGCTTCAAGATCTATTGAGCGAGATTACAGGGTGGAAGACCGAGCATATTGTCATCAAGGTCGACAACAAGTCAGCAATGACACTCAGCAAGAACCCTGTATTTCATGGTAAGAACAAACATATTCATAAACGCTACCATTTTATACGAGAGTGCATTGAGAAGGAGTTAGTAGATGTGGAGCATGTGCAGGGTGTTGAGAAGAAGGCCGACATTCTTACTAAAGCTCTGGCAAGGATTAAGTTCAGAGAAATGAGAAGCTTGATAGGAGTCCAAGACATGTCCAAGATCAAGTCGAAGCTTAAGAGGGAGAATGTTGAATAAGCATCGACATTAAGGCCAAAGCCCAAGTTGCTTTACAAGTCAGTTAAGTTAATTAGATAGGATTTTGGAATATTTTCTTATTAGATTAGGAGTTATCTAGTTCTATATATATATATATATATATATATAAGTTATTGATGAAGTTACATCGATAAGAGATACATATTTTGATGTTTAGTTTTGAGAGATATTCTAAACATAATAAGAAAGTTATTCTTACAAACAGAATTTTGTTCTTGATTTAAATACTTGACAACAGTATTAAAAAAATTGGGTGGTCTACTATAACAAGTTTGCAAAACAAATATGAGAGTTATTTTCTAAACAAGAATTATTCTTATAAACAGAATTTTGTTCTTAATTTAAATACTTGACAACAGTACTAACAAATTGGGCGGTCTGCTACAACAAGTTTGCAAAGCGAGGAAACATTATGTACGGTCTTTTACTTTTGGCTATTACTACAAAATGGTCTTTAAACTTATTTCCTCATACAGTACTCTTTTTTCAATTTCTTTTACCATCACACATATATATATATATATATATATATTGTTATCAAAAATTTAATGTTTCTGAGAAACAACAACTCCTACAAGTGTATTTTGCTCTATACTAATTATAATTGTAAACGCACAACCTAGCTTACACTAACACGATATATGGACGACGCACTATAAATGATAAATCAGTATCCCATAATTTCGATATGAACTAATTATGATTTTTACTTTTATATATATATATATATATATAATCAAAAGTGATGAATGAACTACATTAATTCTGAAAACAAATTGTTCTCTTTCAATACAATTTCTTTTTGCTCATTATATATATTTACCTATTGTGTCTTAATAATATATAAACTATTTTATTTAGTTGGTGGAAGTGAGTGCTTTCACGTCAAATATTCTTGTCTCCCAACAAATAAAAGAAAACGTTTTATGCAGAAACTTGAAGATGCTAATCACAGTTTCAGATTTCATTGATTGACAAACAAATATTCCATTCTCTTTCTTTTTCTGTTCTTTTTTGGCCAAATCCTTGTTATATTAGTTCAAATATATTCTCTATTTTATGTATATATTCTTAATTTTAATTTGTAATAAGAATTCGCTGGGTTTAGTGTCGTAACAAAAAGAAGATACATTGTAGAAAGGAAAAATAGATGCCAATCACAAAGGATTTAGTCTTATGTGGGCCTAGTCACATGTTAAATAGTAGCCAGGTCTCAGAGGGATGATAGTGTTAAACTAATTGACTTTCTCTTTGGGGTAGATTGTAGTTAACAAGTTTTTTCCCATTTGTTGAATCATTGTTATCATTCAAAACTATATTTAAATGGATCCGTCTTGTTTTATCACATCATACTTTATTTTTTGAAAGACTTTATCAAATCATACTTGAAGTTCCAGTTCTTAAAATCATAGTGTTTTTGCCATTTTAAGGCAACATTTTGGTTTGACAAACATTGATATTCTTAAATCCATGCACAGAAAACATTGGTCAAGTAACAAATGCAACTACACTTGTGTGTTTCTTGGAGACTGGCTGGTGG